CCGAAAAGTGACAGAAAGGAAAAGCCGTGGAATGGCAGACTCGAAGATACAAGAATTGTCTCCATGTCAGGATTCGTCCTATGCCAGTCTGTTGAGAAATCATGGAAGTTCGCTTATACGGATTAGATGTGCTCTGTAGTAATGGTGAAAGCATATGACCGCATCCCGCGCAACAAGTTACGTACGTGACATCCAATCACTATACGATGATAGCAGGTGCAGCGCAAGCAGATTCAAAATGGGGTTAAGTCGAGATAATTCACTGTTGGCACTGGTGTTCTAAAAGGCTGTGTGCTGCCCTTTCTTCTGTTCGTGTTGCATATGAATAGAATAGTCAGGCGTAGCCAAAGCAACCAGTGTATCGGTGTAGGAGATGTGGAGGCGAGAAGGCTGCTGTTTGCAGACGACCTTGTTTTAATCTTATTGGCATCTTCTAAAACTGATCTCTAGCGCTCTCTGGAAAAGTTTACAGCTGAATGAAACGTGGCCAGTGAAAATGAAGATGTATAAAACGGAAACCCGATGGATCTTCGTTCTTCTGTCTGCTGCGTTCTATGGACAAGCGGAGAAGCGGTGAAGCAGGTAGCGAAATTCACGGATCTCGGTCGGGTTTAACAGTGAAAGAAAATTGAAGGAAGAGATGGACCGGCGAATTGGAATGACTTGCGTGAACTATCCCAAAGACCACTGTGAATCTGAAGATTAAGTTTTCTCTGTTTAAATCGACCTTCATCTCGACGCTCACTTGCTGCCATCAGTCGTGGACCACTACTGAAAAACTTCGACTACAGATAAAGGCGGTTGAAATGGGCCCTGGGCCTTGGTTGAGACGAATCGCTGGCCTCGCGAGTTTTAACAAGGTCTGGAGTACAAATATCTTACAGAGTGTTACAGCTGCGAAGGTTCTGGTAGGTCTTGCGAATGATTCTGGAAAAGGAAGCTGATGGGTCAAATATTCCCCGGGAACCGCCAAGCATAATCTGAGCAAATATTTCGAAGGGTTCAGCTCAGGACTAAGGTCATCCTCTACCAAAGATCAAACATTGGCAAAGGATGGAAAACCTTGGAGACACTAACTCGTCTGCGCCCGTGATCCGAAAGTATAAGAGATAATCGAAACTGACTGAATGAATTACCGACATTTTTAGCTATACTCCACTCACTTTCAAAGTATAACAATAGTACAACAAAGTACATATACCTACGGATGGTGGCATATTAGCAGGTGTCTATACAGGACTTGGTTCGTACCTGCCTAGTGATGCAGTTCTGCATCCATACACTGTTGGTACTAAAATACCATGGAGACGTGATCTGTTTAAATGGTCCCCTAGATCGCCAGAAGTAACTGGACGATGTGTCTACGCCTAGTAAATCCGGTAGTAACAGAAAATATTAAAACAGTGTTTTGATTTTAGGGTCGTAGAAAGGGAGACAATTCGATGCTAGCGAACGTTTTCTTAAGATGACATTTTGGACGGTTATACTCTACATTACTAAGGCATAAAACCTTTCCGAGTAAATTTTATACTAAAATGTCACAGTAGATAAAATATTGCGAAAATGCACCAGGATAAGTATAAAAAAATGGAAGCACTCCAATTCCGCCAGTGAATATTTAGATTTCAATCACTGCCGCCGGATTTACACAACGAAGAATAAAATCCAGTATAAGTAACTGAAATGTAATATTTACCGGGAATTTACAAGCTGCCTTAATTGTAGCTACCCCAAAATATGCCTGATAGGTTTTTCTATATATCTGCCTACGGACAGCGGCAAGCTTAGCTGATGTTTGAACGCTACTTCATTCAGCCCAACTTAGAGCTGGGCTCATGCAACTGATGCACTAAGATACCATGGAGCCGTGTCGGGTATTTAAATGGTCCCTTTAGGTGATATGAAGCAAATGGATGGTGCGAATAAACGTGTAAATGAGACATCAATAATTGAGACGTAGATAACGGTAGACGTTTGCGAAAATACAAGGAAGTGAAAACAGATCAAGCACCGTACCTGCTTGTAGCCGATTTCGTGAGTCTTGCAGTAAATGAACAAAATCGATACCATGACGTCATGCACTGCTTGAGATCGAAAGTACTGCATTTCAGGCAACCTAAATGAATAAACAGTCTAAGAGGTGCGAAGAAACCAAAGCTTCAATAAAGAATAAGCAGTAGTTGGTATTACTGCGAAACAATATGACTATAAAATAAAATTCAAAGATTATGGACATAACTGAGAGACAATGGCATCAGTGTGCAATGTTGAATTTACAACTACGGAATACGCAACTCACTATAAAGAAGAAAGCACAGAATGAATAAGACTGTTCATTCAAAAACGAAAAATAATGGGGATATAAATTCTGCGATCTTCTGCTCCTTGAAAATCTATGTCTGACAAATTTAACGATAATTGCATGCAAGCGTACAACAACTTAAGTAGAGGACCGCAAGAGAGCTGTAGAAACAAGATTAACTGGTTCATTCATCTTAGCCATACATACAACAGTCAAGAGAGCTTCTGGTTAACTCAACAGGTTCGACTAAAGAAACAATGGAAAAAGATATTCTATTCAGGATACAATTCAGCAAATAATGAAGATGTATTCGTAATTCGTAATTTGACAGGCTCTCGATAAGGGTGCGCTATGGGTATGCAAATCAATGCGAGATGAATTGTCGTTTCTCTTTAGCCCGAGAAAGCAGAGAAGCATATTATGCGGTCTACTGTTTGAAAAAGAGTATAACAGTTGCACTGAAATTGGTTTCATTCTTTGAGAAACGAACTCATCACGAAATGCCCCAACATTGTAAAAGGAAAACGTTCAAAAATCTACGCAGATAGCAACAACATAACCTTTTAACTTCATCGCGGAAGTCATTCGTAGCCATGCCACGAATTAGCATGATAAACATAAGATAATTATTACACACTAAACAACGTCTATGCCCCAAAAGATGCTTCTTGCAATATATATCATAAAATGAGAACAATGAAGTAATTCTTCGTCTCAATTCGTTGGTTGTCCTTCTTTCAGTTAGAGATTTTGCGAAGGCTATAAAAATTTTTCAAACCCCTGATCGACAGGTTAAAATTGCCAATTACCAATCTTGGTAAAAATGCATGTAATCATTCCTCTTCAGGTTTTATTCGTTTTATGTCATAGAGGCAGCTCCTTCAAAAGCGTTTCCAATGACAATAGGGTGCCACTGAATGCAAAAGCTTCACAGGTTGACTCCATGATGAAAAAAACGTTTTAATATTAACATAAAAGAACAATTCCTATAACTGAGGGCACGCGGCAAATTTTATGGTGTGGAATAATGTACTTACGATCGCTTTACGTCAGTAGCAATCCGACACTTAATTTCTTCGTTCACAAAATATGACAACCACGGACTCTAGAGTAAAGCGGTGACACGTAAAGTAAATAATAATTTGCTAAGTCACGCAAACATACATCGTCCAGGAGAGAAAGTGGGTTGTTTCTAAGCAGATCTTCTTCACTGAAACGCAGCGTCCTTGGATTGTAGTCGATCTACAACAAAATTCGATCAGAATCACGTATCAACTTCAATAACAGGGTCTTTAGATTCATCCAGAACACAATTGTGTCTGTTTTTATCTCTGTGCATAAGGGTTACATTTTGTGCCGACTTAGTAAGTTATCAGGTAGTTTAAAACGAACTGCAGTCATAAGACGCGCGCATCAGAAAGCCTGGCAGTACATAGCGCAGGCTTTGCTACGACTACACTAGAAAAACACGTTGTTTCCATTCTTCGCATGTCAACGATTTGCTCCTCATTTCTGCGCTGGTGCATCATGATACATGCGATGAAATACTGTTTCGAACTTGAACCGATAATGGCCGTAGGAGAATTACCGTCAGAGACACGGTACCCCAAAAAGGCAAATTAGCCCAAAGTAACCGGTTACAAGATGTCCTGAGCTGTTCCTTAACGATCATGTGCTTCACCGTAATAAATCTTCAAAAATAGATCCTATTTAATAACTTCTAAAATTTATGTCAATGCTGTGCTGTGGGTGGACAGGTAAACCTTACATGTGTCATTCAATTTGAAATAGGGAAAGTTAAATTATGAACAGATTGAACTTTTTTACATCTTCATGATACTTGGCCATCAACTAGTTTTGCCACATCATGTATATCTACATACATATGCCTATTATTTTGAATAAATTTGATGAGAAAAGTCAAGCGACTGTCTTGACTCTTTTCTTTCGCTCAGACAGAGCGAACTTTCTCAAAACATACCAGCGAAATGTAGCTTCTTTCAAAGAAGGGATTTCTTAGTGAGGTTGCAAAGATTCACTTTATAACCGAGCAAGACAAATCGAATCATGTTGTCTGCAAAAAATAATAAACCTGTGTTACAGGCGTCATCAATCTCTTGGTCAGACAAAAACAAAGGGAAACGAATATAACGCTGAGGCATAAGATTTTCCTATGCGATATCAGCCACGATATCATATCAAGTTGGTTGCTCGGATGCCAATACTGTAAATGTAAGGACTAAAAGGCATATTCTACATAGAAATTATGAAAATTGCTTAAGGTCATTGTTGTCTGCTTGCCATTCCGCTAACTTCGAGAGTTTAAGCCTCATAACTTTTAGCATTAGCATTTATGAGGATGGCAACTTTACGATCTGACAGAACACACCATCAAGTGGTTTGGGAATTGTAGCAGTGATCTTCCTACTATCCAGCATCGTGGAATGAAAATCTCTGCCGATCTCATATCAGCCTCTTCTATTTTCAGCAGTGTTTTCATCTGATCTCCTGATCAAAGTCAGTCGTACGCCAGTTTAAAATACGAGAAGCCTACGGACCACTGAATGGCTAATACTAAAGTGATTTGGCAGAGTGACATTTCCAAATACTCTATTTTACAGAGGGTACTGGGAGAGAAGATCCATTACTGAAAAAACCCCGTCATTTAACCCTTATCGTGCATCGATAGACCGTTAGAATAACAGTCTTGGAACCGCATAACAATACTGGCTTAAGGTGCAGGCAGATTTTAGCAAAATAAGATATTCATTTATCATCCAAATTATCTGATGGATCATTGAAAGCATTGGTAAGTTAGGGTGTTTCTGATTCTAAACACTGACTATTGGGTGCATCAATGGAGATGATCATTATTTGTCGAACTTCCCTATCCCCTTCCCCACCCCTACCTCGCTTCACCAAATATGATACGCCACATTAGTTTATTAGTTTCTCATAATTTATGACTTCAGACCATTAAGGAAGTGGCCTAATTTCACAGCTGTACTGCATTCGAATGTCGTCACGTGAAGAAGCCCACTTCACGATTTACTCAGCATAACAATACCGCCTGTGTATTCCCCTTTACAAGGCATCTGGCAGAATGTCTTGAACTGTATCACCTTGCCAGAATCGGATGTTTGCTTTTGTTTACGCCAACACCGTCTCGAAAGGAGAGAGCAGATAACAGTGTTAAATAGCAAGGAGGAACATGTTTCCCTAAAAGAAAACGCCGTTAACAGAGAATCACTCGCATGACTTTCAAATGACTTTTATTGCACAAGCTGATAATTAAATGTTTGTTCCAAAATGCTAGGTATCATGTAGGGTTTCCAACACTTTAATGGCATTAGATTACCTTTCAAAATAACAAGTCCACATTTATAACACTTTTGGGTCATTTTTCAATAACACGCCAAAGTTGTAAACATCCCTACTCTTTTCAAAGCAAATAAATTTAGGCGTGACGTAAGATACTTCTTCACAACCATATGTTGTAAAAATTTCCCTCACGATGGATTCTGCGCCGCAAACTGAAAAGTGGGAATAAAGTAAAGGAGTATCGTGCGTCACACCTAAGACCATTTGCACAGAAGGAAACTAAGGACAACTGGCACACTTTGTTTCTTTGCTATCACCTGACGTTTCTTTGGTACGACAGTTAATGGCTGCGCTAGAAAAATAAAGTTATTAACAAAATCTCGCACAGCTCATAACGCTATAATAAGTAATATAGGTCTATGAACATTACGTGGAAACCGCACTACTATAAATCTAAGACATATTGTTCAAATTCTCTGCCATCTTAACTAAAATCGTATCTAATGCCTTACTTTAGTCTTTAAGGCAGCATACTTCATTCGAGCGTTTGATAATACATTCGGCCATTCTTCGACTCGTTTAGGAAGACAACCCAAAACAACCTAAACATGAAGGAATTGGAATTATAATATAAAGGAATTCTTAGTCAGTTAAGCAAAGAACAGTCGAGAAACGAACCATGCAAATTAATAATTTAAGCAAGCATTTTAAAGCCATGGCTTCCAAAATTACGGTGTTACGTGGTTGACTACTTGATCGTCACTTAGAGTTAGATCCCTCGCCATTATAAAATACCATAAAATACTCTTCTTTCATGCCCACTGTCCAAATATACAATCTTCCCGTCCGTTTAATACGCAAATTTCTTATTTCAGCCATGCATGAATTTTTAATGCGTTGCACAGGGTGAAGCACGCTGAACTCATAATCACGAGAAATATGGCTAGATCGATTCCAAGTCAGATCGTTCTGCCTTTCAATATCTGAAGTAAATTAGCGAGAACAACTAACAATTTTGCAAGAAGAAAACAAGTACTGCATGCCATGCTCGGCATGTAGCTGTAGAAAATCTTATATTAACAAGGCTGCACCTTATTAAGAAAACAACACTTCACAGTAAACTCAATGAAGAATGGCACTATAAATGCGGCCTCTCCAGGATCTGTAACGAGACAGACCCGCAGCTACAAAGTTTAAATTTTAACGCAGCCATCAAATTTCCATTTCAGAGTCCTACCTTCCATGTCAATTATAACCGCGCTCTTTCCCACTCATTGTTCTTCCTGGC